TCGTCCATTTCGTGATCGGTTGGTGCGACTGGGTTCGTGATGAGAGGAACACGATGAAGGTGATTTAGAGTTCGATTTGTGAAGTTTTGATGTCGTTCTAGAGGGTTGCAGAGAAAGGGATAGTTTCGGTGAGAGATGAGGAGAAGAGAAAGAGTGAGAGAGCAATTTCTGATTGGGGGAGAGGTGTGAGGAGTGGGTTCTTTGATTGGTGAGGGAATTGTGGAAAGATGTTGATTGGTGAAGAGTGAAATGAGGGAAAATGATTGGTTGTGAGTGAAATAGGGGACACAAGTCCAATTTAAAAAGAAGAGAGGATAGGGTTTTTCAGATTTGCACCGTAAAAGTACTCAGAAAATCTATCCCCTTATCAAACATAGTGTTTCTCACACTGAATAATTAATACACATGTGTACAAATTTTACCCGCTGTTACGTACTTTGACTGAGCGTAACTTTTTCGTTATAAAACCGATTCGAGTCTAACTCGCGCTCACGCGTTCGTAACAAAAAGTACTATTTAATTATGATAACGAGAAAAATAAATTGAAAGCCGAATACTACATCCACGTCACCTGCCAACAAGGGCATAAATGTCACTTTACACACTAGGGGAGAAAATTACATAGAAAATTAGGGACAGGTCGTCACATAATATTTGTTTGTAATTATAAAGTTTACGTAAATATAGATATATATATGCTTACGTAAACTTTATAATTACAATCATTCCATTCGTTGCTAAATATATTGTGCAACGCTATGTTCGTTGCTTAAGACAATTTTGTGCGACGAATAACAGCTGTTTGTCACTCAAAGCACGGTCAGATTGCGTTGAAACATTCCCATTTATTGCGCATTTATGACGCGTTTTGCGCTACGAAGATGGTGATTTGCGCAACGAATGGGTTCGTCGCACAAAGGTATCCTAGTGCTATATAAACACAGTTTCAGAACCCTAGTTTTAAAAAAAATATTTGTTTAAAAAAGAATGGTCGATTTTGAAGAAGGTTCTGGCAAAAAAGAACTTGTAGTGCGATCAAAGAGGTATCGACGAAAGCAAGTGTCGTACTTTGAAGGCAAAAATATGGCTGATGCGTACGCCGAATTTAGATATGACATTGGGAATTTGGTGCAGAGAGATTGTTCTTCCGAGTTTGAGTCTTAGAAAAAGGTCCCTGAGGTGTTGAAGAAGTTCATACTGGGGGAGTTATCGGTAAGTTTGTGGTAAATAATGAACAATTATTTTTGTTAAAACGTAATATTTTTTAAATTACTAATTTATTGTTATTGACATTAATGTAGGTTCATTGGGATGTTGATGAAACCGATGAGAAGCAATGAATTTATGTGGATGGGCTTTTCAAGCAGAGTTTCCGGCAATGGAAATTTGATGTGTTATGGGCGGGGGATGATTGAAGTTGAATTGTAATTTTTTTTTTTTGAAATAAGATTTTGTGGACTTTATATTTAATTTAATTAATAAATTTATGTTATGTGGATGAGTATTAATATTTACATTAATTATAATTTGTGTTTGGGATAATAAATTAGTTTTGTTAATTAATTTAATGTTTAATTAGGTTTGAGTTTTTTTATTTATAATAAAATAAAAATTTACATTACATACAAATAATGGAAAAAAATTAAAAAATATGCATTTTGCGAGACGAATGTTGGTATCGTCGCGCACTTTGTTTAAAATAATAAATTATAAAGTAAATGAAAAAAATTGTAACCTTGCGTGACGATACATTGTTTTTGTCGCCCAAAGGGTATTCGAGTGAAGAACACGTTTTTAGTCGCCCAAACTGTATTTGCGCGACGAAGACGATGTTTGTCGCGCAAAATCAATCTTCCAAAAGTGAACTTTATAATTTGGATTCAGCTGTGCAGAGCCAAACTATAGATTTAGCCTATGCACTCATCCCTTTCGTTTTTCTTCAATCCGACATCCGTCATTTTCATTTTCTCTCAATTTCATCATCTAATACTCCCTCCCTCTTCTTGTCTAGGTTGATCGAGTTGTCTCGGTGTGTCTGGTAAGCTTTGTTTTTATTAGGGTAAAAGTATTAATGTAAATTCATACTAACGCCATGAATTTTGTTGTTTATAGGGATATTGTGTGTGATTAGCGAATTGGTGGAGAACGATTGAGAATGTATTTTTTTTGTTTTATTTAAAAAAAAAAATTAATTAAATTATGTTGAACTTATGTTGTTATGTTTATATTGTGTTGTGAAATTATATTTATATTATGTTGTTAAATTTGTACGTGAAGTTCAAATATGTGTTCTGATGTATGAAGTTAATTGTAATTAACTTCGTACTTGTTTTTTCTTTTAAGTAAAACTTAGTTTCCTGTTCGAGGATTAGTTGGATTTCGCGCATGGATGTGAAAGCATGACTGTTGTCCAATTGATTCTTGAATTGTCCCATTATTTGGACAGTTTGGGAATGCACAGTTATGGCGTGTAGTTTATGGTTGAAGGATTAAGTTTCAGTTGCGGAGATTTTCGGTGTCATCTCTGTACGCTCTTCAGGTGGCTCATAGGTATTTCATATCTACGTCGTTCATCAAAAGAACTGTACTGAGATGCTGTCGAAATTCATCAACGTCGATATCTAATCTGATGTAGCCGTAAATTACGTGACATAACGATGCATTCTCGAATGGGATATGGCCTTTACAAGAGGCATAAGGTGACACTATCATTTGTATGAAGTTGTTGTGATTGTTGTACTATTATTGTGGTTGCAGGAATTATGAACAGAAAGTGGATACATAACCCGAATAGATGCGCGGACAAATACTTGGATGGAATCAAGGATTTTATTGACTTCCGCTGGGTGCTTACCATCACCTTCAACTCCATGTGGGACGGAACTTGTGCAATCAACCAGCCATTGTAGGAGAAACGGAGGTGGCTGGCAAGAACACCCATCGATAATGTCATTGAGTGAGTGAACGAGTCAGAGTTGAAGCAGAAGGTTAAACCCTAAGCAAGAAATTCTACACGTTAAACCCTAAATTTTGGAAACGGAAAACAATCTGAGGCAAAACCCCAATTTGAATATTCAAGATTAGAAGGCACAATAATGTATCAAATCTAAAACGATATTGGGCCTTTTTATTATAGGCCAAGCTTATTCTTGTCTTTTTATTTTTTTATTTTTATCATGAAAACAACTTTTATTATAATAAAAACTAGTACAAAGCCAAAAAAGAACCAGGTAAACAACTACAGAGAAAGTAAAAGGCCCAAGTGAAATGAGAGCAGTAACCTAAGATACAACAGAAGGCCAACACAAGCTTAGGCCTGAAGGCTGTAAAAAAAAACAATAAAAAACCCTAATTTCCAACATTAAAGACCACACCGTCATTGCCGTCATATCTTCAGAGGAAGCCAAACTCCAAACAGAGTAAGTAGACACTAGATCCAAGTCCCCTTTCACGAACCCTTGCAAATATATACAAACAAATTAACATAAGGGTAGAGAGTGAGGCAAAGGGGTATGTAAAGTACCCAACACTTGGCCTCGATGGGGATTTGGCATGGTGGTTGGGGGAGGGGAAGTGAAGGAAGGAAGTGGATCTAATATCCAATTTTTGATTGGAGTGCGCCAATCTAAGCACATGATGGGATGAAGATAAAGTATCACAGCTAGGGAGAAGGGAGGAACGAAAATTAAAAAAGACATAAAGCATTAATAGTAGGCGAAAAATGCTGAATAAAGGGGCATGAAGCCTAGGATAGTTGAGACTCGGCTTGGGGAAAAATGAGATTAAACTCAAGGGAGAACCGAGAATTAAAAAGGAAGGGAGAAAAATTGGAAATGATGAAGGAAAAGGAGGGGGAGTAGGGAGGGGGAAAGAGTAAAGGAGATGACGGGGGATGAAAAGAGTGAAGAGAGAAACTGCGCAAAAACTTATGAGGAAACAGAGAAGAGAAAGGAAAAGAAGAAAGGAAGGTGGATGCCTCCAGCACCCGAGCTAAAGGCTAGGGCCGCCGACGAAAGTTTATGGGATTGTCTTTTAGAGAGAAAAATGAAGACTTTTTAGAGAGAGGCTTTTTTAACTAGTTTCCGTTAGCTTGAGTCTTGTATAAGAAGAATTTTCTTTTTTTAGTGCATCAAAAGTGCACATTTAAATTACACATTTGAATGTGCGTTGTTAGATTATTAGCTTAACAAAATTTAACAGCTCTTATTCATATATGTAACTTAATGTGCACAAGAAAAAAAATTCTCTATGCTATTGGACCAGATGAAGTGAACAGTGAATTAGCCCATCTACTTTTGCTTTACCCACTTGATTAAGTAGATTAGTTTGGGTTATCCATGCATGCGTGAAGAACATATATATGGTCAAAAAATAAAGATCTTATGTTTTTTTTTTTTTTTTTTTTTTTCAAACGATGAATTGTGTTAGATTAGCCACTAATGGGGTTTGAACTCACACCATCATGCAAGGGTTTAATACATTTTCACTACTGTAGTAAATGACCGCTTGCAATTTTATTTTTAGATGTTACCATTCAATTCTTAATTTATGATTCTATAACATTAGCAATTTATAATTGTAACGGAAAATGTAAGCATGTGATGAGTAGCCAATAATTAATGTGAATTTATGGTACTTATTTTTCTTTTAAAATGAGCACAAAGTTTCGTTTTTCTCATACTATATCCTAACGTATTAAAATTATATTCATTTGTACTTTCGATCTCATTGATTGTATAATATTTCATTAAATATATATGACGTTGTGATCACTAGACATTCAAAAATGGCAAAAATAAAAATAAACATTTCATTAATATAATGGAGAGGATTAGACATTTAAAGAAACAAAATACGTAAATTGATACAATTTCAAAATCTAAAAAGCAATGACAGAAAATTAAAACCTCAATTAGACGTTAAAATGATACATTTATTTATTTTGGACAGATCTTTCTACCAAAAAAAGAAATTGGAGCACAAGAATAAAAAAAATTGAATTACAATAGGGTGGGGCAACTGGAGCGCTGTTCGCTTCCTCCTCCTCCTCCTCCTTTCTTCCCAAATTGCTCTGTTTTTTCTGAAACCCTAAACCCTGAACCTCCAATCAATCTTCCTCTTCCTAAATGCCCCCCAAGTCGATATCCCTCCTCTTTGCTTTCAGTCTAGCAGTTATTGCAAGCGAGGTCCAATTGAATTCTCTGATGGGCGCAGCGAACGAGAACTGAGAAGGGACGGAGGCGAGCGTAAATGACGATGTTTGAAAGAGTTGTGAGTCAGGTGATTTTGGGCTATCTGGGTCGGTACTTCAAAGATATTCAGAAACACCAGCTGAAGATCACCCTTTGGAAAGGTAGTATTTTCAAGTATTGAAGTTATATGCTGTTGTTTTTCGTTTTCTTAGTGGAAGTCGGTTGAGTTTTGCAGGTTTTCGATGTTTTGAGTACTCAGGAAACTATGAATTTATGTATATAACAATGCCCATGTAATGAATTTTAATGTTGTTGCGTAGGGGAAGTGTTCTTGGAAAATGTGGAGCTAAGTCTTGAAGCATTTGATTATCTTCAGTTGCCTTTTGCTTTAAAAGAAGGTACTTTTGACATTTTCTTCGTACTACCATTGTTAATACTTTTGACATTTTCTCTACTTCTTCGGTACAGGCAATGTTTTTGGGTTATATGTCCATAGGTTTAAAGTTTTTGTAGTTGTTAGTGCAGTTATTGAGGACCATTTGGTGGAAGGATTCCATTATATTGATATGCCAGAACTTTAAGAAGGTCCAGTTAGTCTAAGTACATTATTGAAGGCACTAGTTGTGATTTTCTATCTGTGCTTTATTTAATTTTATATGCTGTATCTTTTGGGATGGGAGGAAATCTTATGTCTGTAGAGCTGTTGGGTCGTGCCTCGGGTCCTACATGATAACTTCTTAACTGGTGCATTAGATTTATGGCATGATTCTATATATTTCTTCATTACTATTATTGGTAGCTACACCTGATCATGAATTTTTTGGTAGGCCGGGTGGGAAAGTTAAGCATCAAAATTCCTTGGAAGAAGCTTGGTTGGGACCCCATTGAAATTATTTTAGAAGATGTCTTTCTTTGTGCATCCCAACGGGATGATCAAGAGGTAATTTTCAGTCTCAGATATGTTCATTTGAAAAGAAAGTGTTCTTGGAATTGACCGGTAGAATTACTTGGAGATTGTATAGATAATAGATATTAGATCACAAGACTTAACTAAAACAATGAAAAAAGAAAAAAAAAGGTTTTGCGGATGATCTAAAGGTATCATATATCATGTAAATTAAGAAAGTATCTGAAAAGGGATAATTTCATGTCGTTAAGTGATTTTGTCTGTTTTAGTGGAGTTCGGATGAAGTTGAAAGACGAGAGCTTGCTTGGAAAAAGGCCAAACTTGCTGCAGCAGAGTTGGGAAAACTATCAAAACGTGTTTCCGGTAAGCTTCTTAAATTCCACTTTCTGAAGGCAAATAATGAACAGCTCTGATATTAATGCCCCTCTCTTTTCTTTGGCAATTTTATTGAGTGCACTATTATTGATTTAAAGTTACTAGCCATGTGTAGAGTTCACCAAGAAAATGAAGGGTCCCTTGTAGAAATTTAAATTGGGGCCTTGGGAAAACATCACTGAATTAACAAAGAGTTTTTCTTTTTGAATAAGATTCTGAAGTTTCAATTTAATTTTCCCTTATTCTATTTTTCAATTTTTAAAATATTTCTATTAGTTGAGCAATGCAATTCTTAGAATATTTTGAGACACCCCGAATTTGAGGCATGAACACTTCTGATTGATTTTAGTATCTTTGTGTACACACTGCAAATGTAATACCTTGCCTTCCAAGTGGGACAAACCTTGGCCGGTATCTGTATGCTAAATTGCTAATGCAAGTAAAGTCATGTAGGAAACTAAATCAGTGTACCTGTATCATTATAAAAGTGCAACATCTTTACTTTTTCACTGAAAGATAATGTATCTGTATCATTCAATGTTTTAAAAGGCTCGCCTCAGGGCGTGCCTAGGCGGCCTCTGAGGTTGGGCATGAGGGTTGCTGCCTCTGTTTTGAGGGAGTGGGTGGAAGGCGTTGCCAGAGCAGCCTAGGCGGCGGAGGCGTGCCTTAGGGAGTCCAGGCGTCTCTGTTTGGCTGGTTTTTTTTTTTTTTTAACTCCCAAACCCAAATTTTGGGTAGGGTTTTAACTGCCTCATACCTCGTCCTTGCATTATTGTCTCTCTTCCTTTTTTTTTCTGATTTTTATATTTTTATATAACGGATGTGTGTGCTATCTGCGTGCATTGTTATATGTGTGCACATTGTGCTTTTCATCCTCCATTATATATATATAATATATGTATATATATGTGTGTGTATATATATATATAATATGTGTGTGTTCAGGGTGACTATTGATTAATAATCTTTTTTTTTTAATATAATGTGTACGCTCAGTGTATATATTAAAAAATTTAGGTCTCGTGAGGCTTTGCCTCACTCCTCACGCCTAGGCCGGGCTATCCCTTGGACGCCTTGCCCACGCCTCACACTTTTAATACATTGGTATCATTAGAAATGTAGTTATTCTATGTAATATATTCAAATTACTAGGGCATTAGCCACAGTTTTAAAAAGAGTAGTCAACCCATAAATCATCAAATGAGGGATATATTATTGTTGAGCTAACACTTATGATTCTTTAGTTCACATAACTGTTTGGTTTACCACACAAAGAAGGTGTGCATATTGTTTGGAATCAATTAGGCGCTAAGCTATCACCAGATCTTTTTGTTCTCATGGGATGTGGCCTACAGCTCATGTGCTGCTGCTCATTGTCTAAGTGGCTAGGACATATTGCATTTACTTTATTCTTGTCCATCTAGTTCTCTTAGTCTCCATGACATTTCAGTTTTTTAGCGGGAGATGCAGTGTTAATTCTTTTCAAAGTATATTCTGGCTACTAATTTGTAACTTTTGGTGCTTTAATGGGTTTTCTTTTTCTCTCTGCAGAAAATCAGGCTGGGCTTATATCGTATATTTCTGCTAAGGTGATATTACCTTATTCTGAAATTTACATTTTGATTATTTTTAGCTCACAGAGATGGCATCATATTATTATGCTTTCTTTGTTTCTATTGTTCCATCTCAATACTTGAAAAGAAATGAAGTGTATTGTATAATTTGGTACTGTTGAAGATATATTAAGATATTTTGGGGTTTGTGATCATTGCTGAACACCACTGACATTTATGCCTTTTGCCCCTTAGGTTCTTGACAGCATCCAAGTGTCAATCAGAGATTTTCATATCTTGTACCATCACAAGCTCAGTGACTCGGTAAATTTTCTCCATGTTATAGTCCCTTGCTAAATTTTTTTCTTTTATGTAGCTGTTCGTTCGACTCATTATTTGATGAATCTACTGGAATTTTCTCCACTAAATCTTATTGTCATTTCTTATATGCTAATGGTACAGTGTAGGTTTTTTTGAAAAAGAGGGGTTGGTCTTATTTTATTTATCTACCATGTTTCCCATTAATCCTAAATTATAAATTAAATTTATCAAACTTTTGATTTGTAATTTATTGTTCTTTTACAAGTAAAAGAACTATACAAAAAACCTTCATTTATTTGTTGTTTTCTAAGATGTGGATATTATTTAGTATCTGAAGTTACTATTCTATTTGCACAACATTTTCTCTTGAATAACATAGCATAATTTTTATTCCTGTTTATTGTTTTGCAGGCATATACTGTATTTGGGTTGAAGTTATCCAGCTTGAGGACAATGAAGCAAACTCCTTTAGGGTAATTCACAGTTTCTTCTGGTTATATTGGCAGTTGCGATTGCTTTTTTTTCTCCAAGTTCTTTCTGTCTTTTCTTTCTTTCATTGTTTCTTTCTTTTTTTTTACCTGTTCAAACTCAAGAGAGTCTTTGATTATTAGGCATATAGAGCTTTTCGTCTATATGGGCCCACATTACTTCAACTATAAGAATGTTAGACAGAATTTTTAAAGTTGCAGTGCATCCCTTTTTTCAATCTTTGCTAGTTTATATTTGGACAAAGTTTGCATGTGACTGGTTTGCACAATGCTTATTTTGGTTAAACGTAAAAAGAAATAAAAATAAAAAAATGATTTTACTGTTTGTGGATTGCCATTTGTGTCTTACTTGGGTTGATAACACTGTTAATAAGAAACGAGATACCTGAATTAGGAAATGCAAAGTGTACAATCTCTAGTGCATTGCCATTTGTGTCTTACTTGGGTTGATAACACTGTTAATAAGAAACAAGATACCTGAATTAGGAAATGCAAAGGGTACAATCTCTAGTGGACAAGTAGTCCACAAAAGAACCTAGCCCCATCCAACAGAACATGAAACTAGCAACATAAGATAAAAACCAGAAGACGACTACATTCAGACCATAGTACCATCAATTGAAAAAGGATAGAGGGGACCAAGTCAATAAACTTGTTAAGTAACTCTCAGCCCTTTATAAAACAACAGATGTGGCTGCAGAGCGTGGACCTGTTATGGTCTTATGATATGTTCCAAATGGATTTTAATTTTTTGAGCCTTTAATATCTCAGGCCATCAAGTGGAAGAGGGGGCCAAGTTAATAAAGTTGTGGAGATTACGGGTTTGGAATTTTACTGTGGCACATTTTGTGGAGCGGTCGAATTGATGACTATGAACAATGGTGGGGACTCCAAACTGTGGCACAATACAAGACCTGATGGGGAGAAATATGACTCAATATTGTCTCCTTGTGATGTTTCCATGTCACTTTCGGTATGAAAGTCAATTTCTTTTCTTCTTTGTCCTTTGCGTTGTAGTTGCATCTCTTCTATCTGTCTGTCTCTCTCTCTCTCTCTCTCTCTCTCTCTCTCTCTCTCTCTCTCTCTCTCTGTGTTGGTTGTGGAATGATCGTCTTGTTTTCTTCAAAGGTTTGTTTCTGATTATTGGCCGGATTTCAATTTAAAAACCTTGAAAGTGCACTAGCAATTGCAAAGGTTGTATTTTTTATTATTTCTGATGTATCTTGATATAGTTAGTTGGTAAAAGCAGGGTTTGTTTTTCAAGCTCGGTGGATATCTTGTCCACTGCATTGTACATTTTCATTTCTAGTAACAAAAATTTGTTTCCTATAAAAAATAATAATAGATGAAACTCGAAATTCTGACGAATATATATATGTATGTATATGTATGTGTGTGTGTGTACACACACACACAGAGCCTTTATCCAAAGGGATACCCATTTTTTTGGTAAAAATGGGGACTAATTGTCGGGCCCTTATACATCGAACTTCAACGATCTAGACCGTCTATTATTTAAGTCTTCATTCAGAGATCATCCTTGCAAAAAATCAATTCAATCCACAACCATTTACTCATTTGATTGCCCTGATGAAATTTCAATGTTTCTTGGAACATAGTGTTCATCAATTTCTTTGAACTCAATCAGGTGCCTCAAACATTTTCGATTTGGCTAATATTTTGCAAGGATGATCTATAAAGTGCAACTTGAAAAATAGATGGTTCGGATCGTTGAAGTTTGATGTGGTGTGCGCCCCACAACTAGTCCCCATTTTTACTAAAAAATGGGGATCCCTTTGGATAAAGGACCTGTATATATATGTAACACTGTTGCTTTCGCTCTATGCTTTGGTATCAAATGTGATAAACAGTAAGATAAATATTTTGGTAACTAATTTTTTGTTACATTAGCCTGGTGCATGTGTGTATACGTGTGCATCAAAATGAATTGGTAGTTTATATAATACGTGTCTTAAGTTATAAACTTTTTACCCATGCATACTGAGGTTGAGTAATATGCATGCTCTTGAATGCCAGGTCAACAGATCAGGAGAGCTTGATAACAATACTCCACAGTACTCTATCACCGCTGAGATAACTGACTTGGTAAATTGTCTGTAAGGTGTATATAAATTAAATTTAGGCCAATTCCCACTTTACTACCCTCAAGTTTTGCCAAAACAGCACTTTACTACACTTACTTTTTTTCGTCTCACTTTCAGACCTAAAATTGGATTTTTTTGCCCCTTCGATACTTCCCTTAGCCTACCCATTAACTTTTCTGGTAACTGATGACGTGGCAGGATCCTGACGCACTAATTCTCACTTTACCACTCTCAAGTATCATGAAATTTGCACTTTGCTACCTTTTGTTTTTTTTTGTCTCACTTTACTTGAGAGTAGTAAAGTGAGAATTAGTGGGCCAATATCCTGCCACGTCATCAGTTAACAGAAAAGTTAACATCTAGGCTAATGGAAGTATTAAAGTGGCAGAAAAATCAAACTTTAGGTATGAACGTGAGATGAAAAAAAAGAAAGTGTAGTAAAGTGCGATTTTGGTGAAACTTGAGGATTGTAAACTGGGAATTACCCTTAAATTTAATTGGTTTACTATCTTCTCATCTCTTTTCTTGATGTGCACGTCAGGTGATGTCTTTAAATGAGGTTCAGTTGCAACAAATCTTAATTCTTTGGGATTTTTTAGGCACGTGTGAATTAAGAAATAAGTAAGTTTTTTGTTCATACTATTTTTAGCTATTATATTTACGATCATTGTGTTGATAAACTGAAATTTTGTGGGGTTGCCTGGTATCGGCAATTTTTTGGAATATATGGCTGGAACGCAACAGAAGGATTTTTGAAGACTATACTGGAGTGGGGGCAGAAGTACTTTGGGGGAGAGTAAAATTTTGGGCATCTTTTTGGGCTTCGGTTACTAAAGAGTTTAATAATTGCTCTCTATCTCAAATACTGTGGGATTTGTTAGCAGCAGTTAAGTGAGCTAGGTCTAGAATTGGCTACTGTAGCCAAATCCTATTGGGATTTTCCTTTCTAATTTGTTGGTGGACTTCTTATCCACTTCTATGTTTTTCACTATTCTTTAATAAAATTGTTTCTTCTCAAAAAAAAAAAACTGAAATTTTGTGTGACTTCTATGTAAAAGCTCAAGTGGCTTTTAATTGATCTATGGTTATTGGATTTTGAAGGTATGGGCGTTATTGTCCCTGGTATAGTCCGTTATCAACAAAAATGAAGGGTTGGCAATTGCAGTGGTGGCATTATGCGCAAGAATCTGTTCTATCAGATGTTCATAAGAGATTAAAGAAAAGCTCATGGAGATATTTTGGACAGAGACTGTGAGTCCGTTTCTGTTTTGTTTTTACCCTCTTCTATACCAAGTGCAACGTTAACAAGTACAACTATGTTCTGTTTGTCTCTTGCTCACTCAATTTTTTCATATTGTATCTATGTGTGCGTGTGTGTATTTTTATTAAAGAAACAATTATATTACAAGAGGAAGTAAGCAGTAACAACAGAAAGGGTGGTCAATCAAAACACCCTAACATATATATATATTCATAATGAATGCTTTTTATGTCTCCAGAAAGAGTAGAATTATGTGCTAAAACTGCTGATTCACGAACAAAGGGCATTTGAAAAGTCTTGTAAAATATTGTTTTTTTTGTCCTGTAAGATGGGTTTCAGTATGTAGTATGTACACAACCATATGCTGCAATGTACGAAACAAAAACATGGATTCCAGAGTGCAAGGATTATTCTTTCTGTGTCATTCTATCCGATCGGAAAGCTTTGGCATGCTTAGTAATAATGGTCTTCCCATTTTTCCCTTTAGAAACATAAGTTCCACACTATCAGTGCTACGCGTACTCATTAAGAGTTTGAATTCTTATCTTCTGTGAATATCAAGATGTCCATCTAAATCAAAACTACAATATTTTCGTTTCAAAATTCCTGTAATTAAGTATTACGCTAAAAGAATATTTTAAAAATTCATTCGTTAGAATATCCTAACTTGTTAAAAGAAATTTTGTTGTTTTACCACCATTTGACGTTATGTGTTTGGGATAATAGTTCTGCTTCTTATAACATACTTTCTTCTCTCATAGATACTTTCCTTACCTTCGATACCTTTATCATGTATCCCAACAACTTTTAATTTTTAATGTCCTTGTTCCTTGAAGGAAAGTGTTTTCATTCATAGAATGTTAGGTGATGATCATTTCCCAGGCATGCATACTCAGTAAGAGGTTGTACTTGTTTGAAGTTTTAACATTCAGTATTTAATCTGGTTGCAGAAGTTCTTGTCGGAAATACGTTAACCTATATAAGGCTAAGCTGAATTTTCTTCGCCATGATCAGGTGATTGTTGTACTTGTCGCTTTCTTCTTATGGGTGTTTGATGCCCTTTCCTTTTTATCTCTTTGGTCGGTGATGTGTCATTTCTGCATGTACAAAATCCATCTTTTATGTGGTTTGGTAATATTGGGCATATAGTCATGCACAAGCAATGTGTGGATGTCTTTAGTTTTTGCTGATTTTATTTATCTTAAATGTTATTTAGTTATGGTAAATAGGAAGTGTGGTGGACATGTCATTTTATTTTTTTATAAGATTTGTGTACTCTTGTTGATTATTTCTATCTTGGTTCCACTTTTGGCATAAATGGTAGGAATGTATTCAAAGCTTCCCGCTATACCCCCCTATAGTGTGGAATGTCTTCACTATGGGCTTTAGTTTCCACAGAATTCAGGGGTTTATCGTATTATAGTATTTGGTTAGACTGGAAAGCTGTTGTAATTTAATTTGTGTTCTCTGTGTTTATGTCTATGTTCATCTCCGTGTTTATGTCTATGTTCAGAACTTTGCTCTTATGATTTTCCATTTACTTTGTTTTTAAGCCGTGGCCATCTTGAGAGAGAGATTTGGGTTTTAACAAAATTCACATTAACAGGCAGCAGTCTGTTTCTTGAGTAAAAGTGCTATTAATTTAGTTATAGTATAATAGTTGAACTTAGTTGGATGAGGATTTGGTCAACTTTCTCCTTTTTGTCTCCCTTGAAAGTATTGAAATCTACTACGATTTTTTTGATTACCATATTGTATGTCCTATGCATATACAGTAATCTTGAAAAGGAAGCAATGCAATATCTCGAACATCATATTGCTTTTTGTTTCTTTTCCTTTTGATCACTTTCAGACCATGTTCTTCTGGGCACAGTTGCTGTTAAATTGTACTTCTTATTCATGCACATTATCATCTGTTTAATTAATGAGGTATGAACATTCAATTTAAGGGTTGGTGTCTTACTTGTGAATGACACATTATGCTTTTTTGTTATCAGCCAATTGACGAGAGTACTCAATGGGAATTGGAGCAAATGGAGAAAGAATTGGACATTGATGATATTTTAAGTTACAGGTCTACTGCTGAATGTGAGCTGCAGGTATGAATGGTATTCATGTGTAGGTTGGGAGACATTGACACATAAGCCACATTTGTTAGAGTGGATTAGCTCGGATAGGATAACTTACTAGATTGAAGGCATACTGAAGGAACAAATGGATGACAAATTCCAAATTTGTCCAAGTTGAATGTAGGAGATGGATTACTTATGAAGGAACTTTATCTCGTCTTATCCTCACAAAAACGGTAGGATTAGAAGGGATAAGTTTCGTTTATGACTACTCTGTCTTCTTCCTTCAACTTGGGCAAAATATGGAAGTTGTCATTCACTTCTTCCTTCAATATGCCAAGCTACTGCTCAGAGTATTACTTTCAGTACTTCTAGCCTTTAGAAGCAACTCAACTTTTATTTATGAAAAATTTGTCAGTTGGTGAATTTAGATATTTCAGTTCTCGTGATTGTGTGTTCCTGCAGGAAATTTTGTCGAACTCTTTAACTTCAAACACAAATAATGATGAGCATTCAACTGGCAAATCCCGGGGATGGTTGAACTGGCTATCCCGTGGCATGCTTGGTGCTGGTGGAACAGATGATTTGGGTCAATTTTCTGGTGTTGTTTCTGATGAAGTTATTCAGGTATCTCATATCCAATTGGGTAGCAGAAGACTACATTTTTGCTAAACATTAAATACAATGTTCTATTTCATGTGCAGGATATATGTGAGGCCACAGAGTTCAATCCTCCAGTTTTATACAATGGGGATGTTCGGGCAAATGATAAAATCAGTATATGTGCACTCCAGTTCAGCATTCATCGGATTTCTGCAACACTAAGGAACATGTATGAGTGACTATTTTCATTACTCAATATGACTAAAAGGAATACAAATTTGCTATCAACTATTTGGCAGCTTGAGTTTGCCTTTGCATTGTGCTTGAGCTTGGCATGAGTGAGGCTCCAGAATAGCACTAGGCGAAGCTGAGCAGAGCTGGTGTTATTTCTTCATGTTGTTTTCACCTTTGACCTTGTCTTCCTGTTGAAGAATTAATTAAGCTCAGTGTCACATATAACCTTAAATTGAATACTTGTATCATGATTAGTGAACTAAAATGGTAGGTAAGCTTTACAATTAACACTCTAGCTAGTCTGTTTTGAATCTTGTGATAGGAGTTAATTTCCGTTTTTCTTGATTCAATGGTTAATATTTACAATTATGAAATATCGTCTTCAGGACAAAGCTCCTATTCTAATTTGTAAACAAGTGGAAGCCATTGTGAAATATTTTCTTTCTATGGTTCTGGTCTAATATTTTGCAAAGCAATGTACTAACTGTTACTGTTTGATTGTACTGTATTGTCAGATTAGTGTCACATTTTCTTTTTATGTGCTGTCATGGGTTTCTTTTGTACAGTATGTATATACTTTGTCAGTTACTAAACTGGCGTGTCTTTTAGAAAACGAATCATTCTGCCAGCGAGACAGCTTATTTCTTACATTAGTTGTTTCATATGTGTCAGTAAGTGATCTATTATTTACCAGACAGAAGATTCATGTAGTGGCGTTGCTTCTCTTCCTCCCTCTCTGTGTTATACTGTATTGACTAAAATTCACACTTTTCAGGAAATATGGTCAAGAAATTTCTGAGACAATGTTGAATGGGGTGATTATTGAGTGCAAGTTTTGGGAAGAATCTGCAACCATTTTTTCCGTTGTCCAATCAGGCCAGATGGTTTATCCTTGTAGCAAGAAAGTCATTCTGCAGATGAGACAGGTTCGTAATTAATTTATTCATTTCTTTTTCTAGGAGTTGATTGTTTTCATACTTTTTTTTTTGGAAAATCTATGGACAGTATCTTTAGTTGGACTCTACGACCTGCGGACATAAGTCATTTTTTGTTTTCAATATTTAATAAGAACAATGTTTTTCACTTAAGGGGATTAAATGACTTGTTACATTACGTATTAAGTGATTCTCTGAAGTCCAAGTGGATAATCAAAGCTCATTCAGCTTGCCTTCCTGGGTGGCCTTCTGGGCAATATGGTTTAAGTTAGAAAGAAATGGAACATGCTATGCAATTTAGTTCAGAATTTTATCCACTTAGAGTACTTGGATCTAACGGAAGACGTGACACAGAACTGAGCGCAATGGCGTTCTAGGATTCATATAGCTGACCCCACTTAGTGGGAAAAGGCTTTGTTGTTGTTGTACTGTTTCTTGTACTTCATGTGTCTAGAGCTGGCTAATATCCAAACCAGTTAACCACATGCCCAAATCTCCTCTCTTTCCACTATTTTTTTTGAGAAGAAACAATTTTATTAAAGAATAGTGAAAAACATAGAAGTGGATAAGGAGTCCACCAACAAATTAGAAAGGAAAATCCCAATAGGATTTGGCTACAGTAGCCAATTCTAGACCTAGCTCACTTAACTGCTGCTAACAAATCCCACAGTATTTGAGATAGAGAGCAATTATCAAACTCTTTAGTAACCGAAGCCCAAAAAGATGCCCAATATTTTACTCTCCCCCAAAGTACTTCTGCCCCCACTCCAGTATAGTCTTCAAAAATCCTTCTGTTGCGTTCCAGCCATATATTCCAAAAAATTGCCGATACCAGGCAACCCCACAAAGCTTTGGATTTTTTCCCTTTTCCAAGTGCCTTAAAATTGGTGCTTAGTAGCTCAAAACACCCTTTAGGAATGACCCAACTTACATTAACCTCCTGAAACAGTTTCCACCATAGTTGGATCGAGTAGGAGCAATGAAGAAAAGATGTGATTTACACTCTCCTCCTTAGCTTTACATAAACTACACCAATGTGGGGATAAACACATCAGAGGGTTTCTCCTTTGAATTTTGTCGCAAGTGTTGAGACTCCCAGTGGCCACAAGCCATACAAGTATTTTAACCTTTGGAGGAACTTTTGATTTCCAAATCTGAGAGTAGGGTGGATAATAGTGCACAATCCCATTGTTGCTCAGCGATGAAACGATAGGATTTGCATGTGAACAAACCCGAAGCTTCTAGGTTCCACCTTCTGTTATCCATTTTTGATGGAGACAAGCTAACCACTTCCACTTTCTGTAATAAGCTGGCCGCCTCTTCTATCTCCATCTCATTCAGATTTCTCCTAAAATCAAAGTTCCAACTCAAGGAACTTGACGAAGCTTCCACAAAGCTAGATATGTTATGATTATGCTTCCTCGATAATAAGAATAATCTGGGGAATTGCTCCTTCAGCGGTCCCCCTGCTAACCACCCATCCTCCCAAAACCTCACCCTCTCTCCATTGCCCACATCAAACTTGCAACATCTAAGAAACTGATGAGCACCACTCGAAATGTCTTTCCATGGGCTACGACTTGAAACCCTCCTTGGAGGAAGTGCATTCCATCCATTAACTTGTAGCCCATACTTGCTTCTTATCACCTTGTGCCATAGGGAATGAGACTCCCTTGGGAATCTCCACAACCACTTAGCCAATAGTGCTTCGTTCTGATTCCTCAAATTCCCCACCCCTAGACCTCCTTCCTCCTTGTTTTTAGTAACTAACTCCCATTTGACCAAATGGGTTTTCTTACCTTCCTCCACGCCTTCCCAGAGAAACCCTTTCATTAATTTTTCTAGACGTCTTCTTACCCCGCCAGGAATTTTGAACAATGACATATAGTAAATCGGCAAGCTTCCCAAGACTGATTGAATTAGAGTTAATCTACCTCCTCTGGATAGGAAAGCCTTCTTCCAACTTTGAAGTCTTCTTTCCATTGTTTCTACCACTGGATCCCAAAACCTTATAGCTCTTGGCCTTCCCCCAAGGTGAAGTCCCAGATACTTTATAGGCCAACATCCTACCTCGCAACCCCAAGAAACTGCCATCCTGTTTAATTTCTCACTTTCTGAATTTATTCCTGCCAAAAAGCACTTTGCTTTGTTGATTTTCAATCCTGATACTGAACAGAATAAGTTGAGCACTTGTAATAGGTTGTTCCAAACTTCCTCGTCTTCCGTCAAGAAGAATATGGTGTCGTCTGCAAATTGAAGATGAGAGATCTCCACCTTTTCTTGCCCGATACACAAACCTTTGATGAGATCATTTTCTTGAGCCTTCTCCATTAACCTGCTCAAAACATCGACTACTAAGGTGAAGAGAAAGGGTGACAATGGGTCGCCTTGTCTCAGTCCTCTTGAAGCTTGAAATTTTCCCCTAGGCCTCCCGTTGATCAAAACAGAAAAATTTGCAGAGCATAAACATCCCTGCATCCATTTCCTCCATCTATTGCCAAAACCTTTTCTTTGTAGTACTTCTTCCAGAAATCTCCATTCAACATGATCGTACGCTTTTTCAAAGTCGATCTTGAGCACCAATCCCTTCTCTTTTTTCTGCCTTATCTCTTCTACCACTTCATTTGCAATGAGGACAGCATCCAAAATTTGTCGATCCTTAACAAACGCCCCCTGATGTGGAGAGACAGTTGTAACCAGAACCTCCTTCAATCTTGAAGCCAGTGTTTTCGCTATTATTTTATACAATCCAGTTACTAAACTGATGGGCCTATAATCCGTCACCTTCAAAGAATCTGACTTCTTTGGGATTAGGCAAATGAATGTTTCGTTCGTCACTGCATTTATTATCCCTTTCTCAAAGAACTCCTCCATGATCTTCATTATATCTTCTTTCAAAATATCCCAGCAATGTTGGAACATTTGCATAGAGAAACCATCTGGTCCTGGTGACTTGTCCTTTCCACAATCGAAAACTGCTCTTTTCACTTCTGCTTCCTCAAAAGGCCTCTCAAGCCAATTTGCCTCAAGGGCGCTTATTGGGGCCCAATTTATACCTTCTAAACCCCAACATGCCTCGTCGTTACTGCTAAATAAGGATTTGAAAAAAATTTACAATATGCTCTTCAATCTCTTTTGCATTCTCTATTAATCCCCCTCCAACCGACTCCAACCTTTCAATATAGTTTCTCTTCCTTCTTCCATTTGCAACTCGATGGAAGAATCTTGTATTACCGTCCCCTTCCTTTGCCCATTCCACTTTGCTTCTCTGCCTCCATTTCACTTCTTCTTTAAAAGCCAAGTCTCCCACCAGGTTTTGGAGTTCTTCCCTTTTACTTCTAGCTTCAAAATCTAAGCCTTCCGCCCCCTCTCTCTTATCCAATTCCTCTATGTTTACTTCCGCTTCTTTCAAGACTTTTTCGATTTCGCCGAAACTCTCCTTACTCCAGCTCTGCACCTTTTTTTTCATGGCTTTTAACTTGCTCATAAATTTATAACCCTCCCACCCCTCCACTTGCTCCGATTGCCACCATTCCTTGAATTTGTTTCTGAATTCTAGATCTTGGAGCCACATCTAGTTTAAATAGCATCTTGATGGCATCTCTGTTGACACTCATTATTGTTCTTTGTGAAATTACTTTCTGGTAAGCAATCTTATAGAGGACAATTTCAGCGATTGACCATTTTCTTTTCAGCCTACTATTGAGACGGAAGTATTAGACAATGAGCATCCATCCTGTAGATTGCAAGTGGATGTATCACCAAACCTTGAGGTTGAATTGTGTATTAAGGTACCATACTGTTACCATCTATTGCTGTGAGATACCAAGTATGATATGAGAAACCTCTCTTGGATAACTAGATATGTTTCGATGAGTATTATTTGTCTGGATGTCGTTTATTGACAATTGCTTCTTCCGAACGCTTGTACTCAGGGAATGCTTCAGCCATTGGAAGTTAATTTTGATGCAGAATTTTTCCTAAACTTGATGGACTTTTTTGGAGTTTTAAATTCCTTTGAAGGTCAGCATGGAAGGGTAAGAATTGATACATTTTGTTTCTATAAGTTTCTTTTTTTATTGGTCACACTTCTCTCTCTCTCTCTCTCTCTGTGGGGTTTGCTTTTTCTATCTTCGGTGTCTCAAATTGATTCATAGTTGCTGCTATTGTCTTCAGATCATATAATTTTGGTTTTTCTGTTTTTTATTTAAGAGCTCCTTGGACTTTCAAGTTTCTAAATTTGCTAAAGTTGGAGAGTTATAATTAGCCGAAAGTTACAAGGGATATGTAAAGAAAAAGTTACAGTGTTACACATCATAAATCATCTTTGATGAAGGTTTAGATATTAGTATGCTTTTATTTGTTGAAAAATTTTTTGGGGAAAGAAAACATAATAGTTGTTTCTTTCCCTTGTCGTCATTGATTTTGTAAAATTTCTATAGACTGAGAGATCCATTTGCAGATTGGAGCATTTAAGGTTTCTTTATTTTGCATCTCCTATTTTTGTTGGCATATGGAGGTCTCTATTATGCTCTCCTTTATGGTCTTTTGACTGTTATTAACTTGTTATTACTTGTATATGTTTTTTGAAAAAAAGTTCACGTGATAAGTTGATAACAATCTTTTGACATTTTATATAAAAAAAAGAATAAAGAAATTAACCGTATCTTGACTACAGCATCGAATATGAAATCATTTTAAGAGTGTTCTCTGTTTTGCTTGCTCAAGGAAACATGGTTTAAGAATGACATGTTTTGTTCAGAATTGCTTTCCTTCTCACATTATTTAGGTTTTGGATGGCCTTCTTGACTAAGGATTTTCTTGTTTTGACCCATGATGCTTGTAATGTGACCTGCTGCAGGTTCTCTTGTCACTAAATGGGATAGAAAATGTAAATGGTCGATTGTTATCAAAAGCTGAGTAAGCTTTCTTGTTGCCACTATTATGTTCCATTGCTAGTCTCTACCTTATTCAGATTTTTGACGCCCATGTTATTGTCCATATATAAACAGATTGATGAGTTATATCAATGTTATTGCTTGCAGATACATTTTATCCCATCTTAGGAAAGTTGTGTGGGATTTTAGTATCATCAATATTATCATAAATGTTCCTTGGAGAGATGCAATACCAGAGCAGCATAACTTGGTAATTCTACTGATTAATGTGCCACAGAAAATTTTGGTTTTCGCCTTTTGACTTTCTTGATGCTTGTTATATATGTTTTATGAAAACAAACAATTTCAATTGGTCAACTCAAAATGTACACTAGATGCAGACAACATTAGAATTACAAAAGAGATCTACATTCGTAGCTAAAACATATCTTGAAGCAGCCTTTCAATCTAAGATAATAGATGATAAGGACCGGTCTTTAAATTCTGCAGATATTGATGCCCATGACGAAGCCAAAACCTAACTCTAGCCAATTCTTTTCTACATCTCCCCCTTTATGATCTTCGAAGATTCCTTTCCATCCAGTTGACATATATCACAGCCCAAAACAGTGCACCCCTCATAGGACTTTAGTCTTCATCTTTCTTCAAACACCAGATAAATTTTCATTTAAAAATGAGAACCCTGCTGAAATAACCCAGCTACAAAATTCATAAATGAACTGTCATAAACTTAAAAATAGCGAGATCACTCAGCTTTCTGCCTGCATTTTGCACATGATGCAGCATTGTGGCAAATGGAAGTATTAATCCGCCATCCTAAGACCTTATACTGGAGGAACCTTGGTTTTCCAAATACTTTTTAGATATAAGTAATAATGGTAAAAGAAAGATGGACATGTTTTCCTTCATAATCAGTATTTCACAGTGATTTTGGAGGCGCTGCCTTTGTCTGCTTTGAAGAAACTATATTAGTCAATAAAGAACCTTGTCCCCAGTCATGATGATCAACCCAAAAGGGATATCCCTCAAACTCCATGGCATCTACAATTAAATTTATGCTCTAACCTACTAATACTCGAAGAATCCAATACCACGACTGCCAAAGGGTAATATAATAACCATAGTTGGTCGGAATACCCAGTCTTTCACCACAAAGTAATCATTCAAGTTTTTGGCAACTGTTTCTGTTGGCTTATGTGCTTTGTGGAAAGAATGCTCCGCAGTTGATACTATTAATTTAACTAAGCTGAGAAAAAAGTAAATTCATTGCTTAATGCAGGATTTGATTAACTAAATGCAATTTTTGACAGGTAATTGAAGCAGGCTCCCTTATTTTTATGACTAGATGTGATATTGGATCTCATCCATCAGATGATGGACAATCATATACTTTCAAGAACTTCTTAACTTCGGTTTTCAAGTCTTATATTCCTTTGAGCTTTCAACTTAAAGATCTATACGATCACTTCGAGGTCAAGTTAAATGATTTTGAGGTAGGTTCTAGTCAGATACTCTGTACTTGTTTGTTTCTCTAACTGATTTTTGAGGATCCCATTAGTGATAATACTGATATTGTGCAGATGAAGATGATTATGCCTTCTCATTCTTCTCCAGTCTCTATTTTGGAGAAACTTAGCACTTCTATCTCTTTGGAACGTTGCTTGATCCAAGATGAATCAGTACTGAAACAGTTGGAGGCATGTATAGTTGTAAATAGATGTTTTTTTCTAATAATTTGGTCATGCTCACTCTGTCTTGATTTAGCTGAACTGCCACGAACCTTATAGTAGTTTTAACATTGGAATCCATTGTAGTATGAACTTGAACATCTGGTTTAGATACATATTGCATAGAAGCAGCTTGCTTGTGTCATCTGTTAGTCATGCCATGCTCATGCCGTAGAAGTTTTTCAATTGAATAACAGATGGCATAAGCGTTGGCATTTGTGGTAGAATGTAAAATAATTCCGAGTTAACCTTCTATTAATTTAAGCTTTTGCATCCCTGTTATTCGACCCCCAATTTAAATTAAATTTGACGCTCTGGTCTCTCAAGTGGGGGGAAGAGGTACACATGTGAGTGGGAGTGAATTAATATGAACTAAATGTTGATTCACATCCTAATAGTTTCAGATCTTGAAAATAGTGGTGAACAACAAAATTGATCAATTGGTAGACAGCTTTGAATCAGGAAACTGTTTTAATTTCTTTTTATTTCTAGTTCATGTATTAGTTTGGTTGTTCTCACTTCTACTTTTTTTTTAATTATTAATTAATTAATTAATTTATTTTTAAAGATGCTCAGCTGTTCTTTTGGTTTCAGGTGTACATCAATACATCATCACTGAATGCACACTTTTCTCCATCTATATATGCTGAAATTCTGGAATTGATTGCATACTTAGGTGCTCTGCAGCCAGCTCTATCTTTAGAAACTATTGATCCACTTAAAGTCATATCCAATGGATCAAGGACGGCTGTTTTTGGGTTCTCTACCAATGTCAAACTGGAGACAGTCAGCTTTCAAGTAGAACTTGAAAATGAGAAAGAAAATAGTTCATCCATCATGCTTGCTTGCCAACAATTAGATATCAGGTATCTTGTATTTTAATTTCTGCTATGAGCATTTATATGAATGTACTGTTGAAATCGGACAATTACATACTTGCACATTTTTCTGTTGGTTTATAAATTTGTAGCCGGATTGCATGTCACAGGTACTAGACAATTTTGAGAAAGCCTATTAGTCAATTTATTTTTAATAGCATATTCTCTCTTTCTTTTTGTGCCATATGTGTGTTTTTTTATTTTGGGGGCGGGGAGAGGGGGGGGGGTGTGTGTGTTTTCCCTTATGGTCGAAACCAGTTAATGTTTAGTGGCCCATGTATTTGGGCAGGAAATTTACATATTTGTTTTTCCTAAATTGGATCACTAACACCTTGCTTGAGGTTGACACTTGGTTGTTAAACATGCAGATATGCTCTTACAGAGCTTGAGGAGTGCTGGATCTCTATGAAAGCATTAAGTACCACTTTGCCTTTGAATGGTGAAAGTGAGAGCCATATTCTGTATTCATCTGGAAATCAGTCTTCTACAAATGCTTTACATCAACGTAATACTGGGTTTAGCAACAGCAGTGATGATTTTGCCACAAACATTGAAAATACTGAACCCTGCTTTATTTTACAGTATGAGTCTCTTAGGAATGAGTCAGTTCGCCAAAAATGTAGAATATGCTTGAATAACACTGATATCCACTGCTACCCGTATGTAATCAGACTGTTGATTGAATTTTTTGATAAGCTAGCTGCATATGGTGCATCTAATTATGGTATGAACTCCTTTAGCTCATCTGTGGATGCTGGGAATCCAAACAAGGTTGGTGGTTTTGGGTTTGAAAGGTTTGGTTTCTCAAACTTCTTGGAAAGTGGTTCCTGTGAGCATGCAAGCATACCTGTAGATCATTTTCCTTTTGTTACACTATGCAATTCTGGTTCCCTTGGTAGCCTTGAAAGTTCTTTACTTTATGCCAGTCATGACTGGAGAAAATATTTCACTTTGAAGGACAGCAGAATCATCAGTCCACAATCCAACACAAAGAAGGTATCTAAATATTTTCATGCCACACCATTAGAATCCACATTTATTGCTGCAGCATCTGATGTGGATGGGAGTTCTGCTGACAGTGGTACTGTATTTGTTATTGATTTAGATCTGTGTGGAATCAGAGTGCATTTTCATGATTCCTCATGCATTATTGGAACAATTTCCCTGCCTACATCTCACTCATCTGTAATCATTTCTGAAGACAACTTTGACATCTTAAGTTCTGCAGAGGGATTAGTTCTCACGTCATCTTGGTGGCCACAGAACTTACGTGAGTTTCTATGGGGGCCCTCACTCCCGAGTTTATCTCCTATTTTAAACCTACGAGTGAGGAAAGGAAGCTGTGGGCCATTGCGTTCTCGCATTGAAGTATGCTTCAGCATTCAGCATGTATATTGTGTTTTACCTCCCGAGTATCTGGCAATAATAATTGGTTACTTTTTGTTGCCTGATTGGAGTTCAGATTCAACTGAGCAGCATGTCACCGTATCGCATGAGTACACTGGAACTGAAAATGAGTGTTCACTTGCATATAAAATTGAGATACTAGACTGTACTTTGATAGTGCCCATCAACAGCAATGAGGGTCAGTTTCTAAAGGCAGAACTTCAGCAGTTGTATTGTAGCTTTATTCATCGCAGCAGTTTAACTAATGTATTGAAGGATATTCCTCCTGAATGTTGGGTTCCCGGGCATAAACTTTCAGAAAGAAATCACTGTTTGAATTTGTTTGGACGAGACTTGCTCCTATCATTCCTCTCTTTCAAGGACGATGAATGCGGTGTCTCAAAGTTTGATCAAGATGCTGATTGTGTAGACATTCCATTAGTTGTACCCTTATGTGCTGACGTTTGGGTCAAGATACCTTGTGAAAATGAATTATCAAGTTCCTCAACCATCTGTATCATGACGAGGATTGGGTACTGTCAACTTATGGTTGAGGGTAGGAGTTTCATCTTTAAAGTTCTGAACCAAAATCATTTAGTATTATCTTATTATACTGCATTTATGAAGTTCTCTTCACCAGAAGATGTATGTATGAAATTTTAACCCTTTCTGTTTTTCTTTACAGGTGCTCACTTTTTTTGTGGATTTGAGGGACTAATTGATGTCATAAATGAATTTTCCCAAGTTTCTGATTTATCGAAATGTTTCAAATCTGATGTTCCACAGTTTCTTCAGTTAAAGAGGTGCCTAGAACAGAATAATGCAGTTACACCTGTTGTTTCAAGCATTACATTTTCAGAAGTTAAATGCTATTGCAAATCATTGTCGATACAGTTAAATGGCTGCAGAAGAGACTTGAAAGAACCTATAGCTAAGGCTGAAATGCAATTTATGTGTTCTGCATCATTGAGAGATGACATTCTCTTAAGTGTTGTGCTTAGCTTTTCCTCATTGGCATTATATTCTTTACCTGGTTCTGTTGTATTAGCAAGATTCAAATCCACTTCAACCTCATCAGTTCTTGACTTTTCTCTTTCAAAATCAAATGAAGGTGGGAATGAGCTGCTGGTTTCTTTGCCTTCTGTTGATGTGTGGTTATATTTGTCTTACTGGACTGATGTAATTGACTGTTTGAAATCTTATCCGGGACATTCATCCCCAACTACACCTGACAACTTAAAGCAGGAGGCCGATGTTCTGATTGTTAGGTCAGAAAATATTTGCATAACATTTCACTTTCCTGTCTGGATTGGTGATGAAGGTTGGGGGGAATATCAGGTAGATGAAGATCGTGTCGAGGGTAATCAAAATGATTTATCTGACTTGGTCAAAGGAAAAAACTTTAGATGCCTTGCGGTTACTTTATGCAGTAAAAGTAGTGAACTTTTTGTTGATGCAAGAAGTGTGAAAGTCAAGTCCGACATGGAAAAACTGAATGGTACGGTATTGCTAAGCGAGGACAAAAGTGTTCTATCATGGCCTCTTTTCCAGATATGTCAGGGTACTTTTGAAGCTGAGATTAACCAGAATGAGCTTGTGCATGTTGAAGTAGATGCTCGATGTGATCATTTAGATGTATGGATTTCACACAGCATTCTCCACTTTTGGCATGGCGTACCATTCACTGTTTCTGAAGGAGGGCCTTCTCAGTTTTCTTATGGCGGAATTGCTTTTAAAGTCCAATTTAGAAAGGTTTCTTTTCTTCTAAGTGATGGAAGGGTATGCTGACCTTGACTGCTGAATCTATTAGTTTTTTTTTTTTTCTTGGTAATATGCATATCATCTGATTTTATCCCTGTGACTGTCGTTTGTGCCCTTTTTTTTTTTGCAAAGCATAATCATAATAGTTGGGTCATTTGGTTATTTCTTGAAGCTACTTATTTACTGTCAATTGGTTGTATGCTGGGCATTTTGAGTCTTTACTACGCAACTTGTAGTGTGCTTATGTGACCCAAGAGAAAATGAAAAAGAAAAAGAATACCATTCGTGTAGGTACATCTTGATTTTAAATTTTTCATTGGCAGTCTTATTTTATTGGGCCATTCTAATTACTAAACAGGGAACAGTGAATTTTGGTTACTATCAGTTTAGTTCGTATATTTGTGAAATTTTATTTAGTCCTTTTTGTTTTATTTCACAAAGATTATTAGTCTGTTTTTCCTTTGAAAGTTTTTATTTTTGATATCACTGATTACCCAGTATTAAATGGTGGACTCTTTATTCTGTCTACTAAATGCATGATGCTTTCCATGCTGATAATTCCTGTATGGCTTCATGTAGTGGAGTTGTAGTGGGCCGCTGTTTCAAATTCTTATGGGTAACATCCTCTTTTGTGGTAATGTGACTCAAAAAAACCTCAAAGGTTCAGTCAGTGGTGACCTTCAAGTGAACTACAATAACATTCACAAGGTATTTTTTTCACAAACCATTACTTTCTACTTCAGCAGGAATGATATCTCATAACTTCCTGCTTTTAATGGATAAAGGTCTTCTGGGAGCCTTTTGTCGAGCCTTGGAAGTTTGAGGTCGATGTGATTAGAAAGCAAGGGATGAGTCTCAACAGCTCCATGTTGACAGATGTCAATCTCAAATCGCCTGCGCACCTTAATCTGAACTTCACTGAATCCCTAATAGAGGTGTGAACTCCTTTCAATTCCTTTGACATTTAGATCTATTTTCAGAAAATTTCAATTAGAAGTCTCATGAATCTTATCAAGGGTGTTATTGAGGAACCTGATCATAGCACCTGTTTGGTTCATATACCTTGAATGTAAATAACATTATCATTAACTGGACTGCTAAATACTCACATTGGAAGGAGCGAAATGTGGGCTTGTTCATATATTGTTGAAAATACCTATTGAGACTGAAAAGATGATCCACTTACAAGTTATTAGTACTTGACCTTTGAAACCATGCAACATTCCCCACTAATTTTGATATTTTGTTTTTTCACTTAGTGAATTACATTGGTTATCTTAAGTTGTCATATTTGTAACCCATCTCATTATTGTTTATTACAGTGTGTTTTCAGGGCATTTGAGATGATTAAGGATGCTTGGGTTCTGATGGGTACAAATGATCTTCCCGAAAGCCAAATTTTTTTAAATTCTCCTTATTCCGAATATACATATGCAGGAAAATACGCTCCTTATGTACTTCAAAATTTGACATCTCTGCCTTTAGTATATGACGTTTATCGAGGCCCAGTTAATCTTGGTGTGTTTGATGTCCCAAAGATGAAGAACAGAAAGTATGTGCAACCGGGTTCCTCTATTCCAATCTATATCAATGATACTCCTGAGGAACAACTTATTAATGTTAAGACAGCACACTTTTCTGAGAGGCTTTTTGAGCAGAAGGCAAATGGGGTTGCTCATCAGTACATTACCATTCAATTTGATGGATCATCAATATTGTCTGATCCTATCTCAATGGATCTTGTAGGACTTACCTACTTTGAGGCTGACTTTTCAACGGCTTACAATGACAATATGGAAAATAATAGAACAAATACAGTTGGTGGTTTTGTTGTTCCAGTTGTATTCGATGTTTCAGTGCAGCGTTACAGCAAATTAATACGATTGTACTCAACGGTATAATACAAACTCAACGTATGACATAATTTTATGTTTGTCGGGTATTGGTTACAACTTATATACACTTGCAGGTGATACTTTCAAATGCAACTTCAACGCCACTCGAGCTGCGATTTGATATTCCATTTGGTGTTGCCCCTATGGTAGGACAAAAAATATTTTCCATTTTTATGACTTTCATAGTTTTTATACGTTAACAATGTCAAATGTTTTCTACTTTTCAGATATTAGATCCACTATACCCTGGTCAAGAGTTGCCACTGCCTCTCCATTTGGCTGAGGCTGGTAGGATTAGATGGCGTCCAGTTGGAGATTCTTATCTCTGGAGCGAAGTTTATAACCTTTCAAACCTGCTTTCTCAGGAGACTAAAGTTGGATTTCTTAAGTCCTTTGTCTGCTATCCAGCTCATCCAAATAGTGATCCCTTTCGTTGTTGCATTTCCATTCGAAATATCAGGTTACCCTCATCTGTTAGGTCAAGGAAGACTTCACATCTCAAGAGTAGTCTAAACCAAACAGTTTGTAGTCATGATGAAAGATTGAAAAAGTTAGATGAGTCAAAGAAGCAGTTCGTTCACCAAGTGACTCTCAGTATCCCTTTAGTAGTTAATAACTACCTTCCAAAGGAAGTGACATTGACGATAGAAAGTGGTGGGATTACTCGGACTGCATTTCTTTCAGAGGTTTGTAGTGTGATGACGTTAAATAGATCTTCCTTTAGCTGAATGAGGAGTTCTGTGCTACTTTTCATTTTTTTTCCCATCCTCATAAGGTTAATACCATTATTCAAGAGGCTCTTCTCATTGATCTTTTGTCCTGTAGGTGGAAACTTCCTTTCATAATGTTGATCCTTCACATCACCTGAAACTTGAGATCCATATGCAAGGGTTCAAACCAGCTGTTTTGAATTTTCCACGTACTGAAACATTTTGTAAAATGGCTAAGTTTGGTGGAGCCAAGTTTTCACTTTCTGAAATTGTGGCCTTTTATACAGACTCATCAAATGGTAGTTCATTTACTGTTAGTGCTTGCTTCTGTTGAAAGTAACCTTATTACCTTATGCTTAGTAAGATTGTTAATTGTTTTGGTGTTACTTTGTTTAGGTCCTACATATGTTACCGTGGAAAAGGTGTTGGATGCATTTTCTGGTGCCAGGGAACTCTTCATTTTTGTTCCCTTTCTGTTGTATAATTGCACTGGTTTCCCTCTTGTCATTCAACATGCTTCCAGTGAAATGAGAGTAAGTTGTACAGTTCCTTCTTGTTATCATATGGCTGAACAAGAGCTTCTTCAGGACAAAAAAGATGGTCTCAGTACGGTTTCTTCTAGCCATCATCTGCGTGCTACGGGTTCATATGGTCTAGGAAATTCTTCCTCAAGAGGTCATGTTGTCTCAGTTAGAGAGAATGTGAATCCACACAAAGAAATATTTCTTAGCAAACCTTTGAATCCATCGAACTCTGAACAAAATCTTCATGAGTTTTCGAGCAAAAGGGATTTAGACCGTAGCAAAAGTGATTTAGATGGTCAAAATTCTCTTTCTAATAGATCACATAACAGATCGAGTTCAAGCAGTCAGTTGACCGTAAAAGATTCGAACTTTAATGGTTTTGAGCGTGGAAGGGCTAGGGCATGCATGTTCTCACCTAACCCCAATTCCTCTGCTGGTGAAGTTATGGTTAGAGCAAGTAGGTGTCTGCCTGAATATGTAATTGAAAAGATGCCAAATTCTCTATGGTCAAGTCCATTTTCCCTTGTTCCACCTAGTGATTCAACCACCGTCCTTGTTCCACATCCATCATCAAGTGCAGCAATCATGTTGTCTGTAACATCTAGTGCAGTTGCTGCACCATTTGCTGGAAGGACAAGTGCCATCACTTTCCAGCCCAGGTAACAATAACTATTCAGTAACCAAGGTTTTAATTCCTATGGTTATTAATTTCTGTATCTAAAATTTCTTAAATTTGCAGGTACATCATCAGCAATGCATGCAGCAAGGACTTATGTTATAAGCAAAAAGGGACTGATATCGTTTTTCATTTAGGCATAGGAGAACATTCTCATCTTCACTGGATGGATACAGCCAGGTAAATTACCTTTTGCATGCGGAATCGTCTTGATTTTGTTGAATTGGTTGACTCCACTCTCACATTCAAAATTTAAGGTGGGCAATACATTAGATATCGCATGCATGTTTTTTGTTTCTTATCTTTATTTTTCTTCCTAGCCGACCCCACTTAGTGGGATAAGGCTTTGTTGTTGTTTATTTTTCTTCCTCTTGCTTATTTCAACCTTCTTCAGGGAGTTACTGGTTTCCATCCGTTACGATGAACCTGGATGGCAATGGTCAGGTAGCTTCTTGCCTGATCATCTTGGCGATACTCAAGTGAAATTGCGGAATTATCTTTCTGGTTCATTAAATATGATACGGGTTGAAGTGCAGAATGCTGATGTCTCTCCAGGAGATGAAAAAATTATTGGAAACTTCCATGGAAATTCTGGGACAAATTTGATTCTCATATCAGATGATGAGACTGGATACATGCCCTACAGAATTGATAATTTTTCAAACGAGGTTGGTATAACAATTAATTTAACTGAAAACTAGAATATATCCCAAAATAGTTGGCATAGTACTCCGAGTCTGAGTTTGGCTGTTTTGTTGAATTGTCTTCTCCATTCTTGTTATCTTGCTTCTTTGGGTTGAGGTGTGCTTCTCAATTGTCATTGAGTTCATTAGTTTATCTGTTTTACAGTTTTATCATTCTCAATCGTATTGCTGGCAGTCTTATTTTATATTACTAGTTCATTATCCGGTTTGCGGCAAACTTTTGTTTGGTTTTACATTTGTTGAGCCATAAGCAAACGCCAATATGCATTGTTGTCAATCTTGTTCGTACTGTTGAGTGAAGCATGCTTGCTAAAGCTTAGTGAACTCATTTTTGCATTCTAAACTTATCAGACCTTTTTCTGAAACAATTTTGTTGTGCATCTTGGAACTTTTTAGAGGCTAAGGATTTACCAGCAGAGGTGTGAAACGTTTGAAACAATTGTTCACTCTTACACATCTTGCCCTTATGCCTGGGACGAACCATGCTATCCACGCCGTCTCACCGTGGAGGTACACCCTTTTTTCTTGTATGAATTGTAACAATAAATATTTTATGTTGTCTAGTAAAGAGTTTTTTTTTTATTTGGACGCTGTAAGGTACCCGGAAAGCGTGTTTTGGGGTCATACGCTCTTGATGATGTGAAAGAGTACAGTCCGGTGCAAGTACCATCATCTTCTGAGGTTGTTACTTTTCCACAATAAATTTTCATAGCTTAGCACAATCAAATTCGTGGTGTGGGAACAGCATTGTTGCCTGTTGGCTTCAAGATTTTCTGACATCTATTTTGCGTGTCCCAATCAACATAAATTTGAAAAGAATATTTGCATAACTTAGCACAGTATAGTTGACTTTTTTAAGCCTGTTACTACTTGTTAGTGGGATGTTAACGATACTTTTCTGGCTGTTTTGAGTTCTTGCTGGATTCTTTCTTCTTCTTTTTATGTATTTATTATTTTTCTTAGGGCGATGTATTGAATCACCACACACACTTCATATATATGGTTCACCATCTAAGCTCGATTTCTACATTTTATGTGAAAGTTAATTTGTGTTAACTTTTGCCACCAGAAACCTGAGAGGACATTGCATTTATCCGTCCATGCTGAGGGAGCAACTAAGGTTCATTTCTTATACCTTGGCACGTGCCACAAACTATCAGAACTTATCTTTATTAGCTTTGTGATTACCTTCCTTTATTGCAGGTCCTCCATGTTATTGATTCAAGTTACCATGTTGTGAGTGACATGACGAATCCAACTGTTCCTCACTTGAGAGAGAAGGGGAAACATGAACAGAAACAGGACAAGTTTGTAGGTTTCATGGAAAGAATTTCAATTGTTATTCAACACATTGGTATCTCCATGATCAATATTTATCCACAGGTAGGTAAAATTGTGAAATCGCATCTTCTACTCAGGTTCCATGGAGCTTATTCAGACTATGTTCATCTGTTGTTTCTCTTGTAGGAATTGATTTTTGCTTGTGCAAAGAACATTACAATTGATCTTGTACAGAGTTTGGATCAACAAAAGCTTTCCTTGCAAATCACATCATTGCAAATTGATAACCAGCTGCGTTCTACCCCATATCCTGTTATCCTGTCCTTTGACCATGATTATAAAAGCAATCCAATTGGCCATGTGATTAAGGATGATGTCATGAAACCAATAAGTGAAAGACTGCTTCAAAGGACTTCTCACAGCTCTTTCGAACCTGTTTTCTACCTTGCTGTATCAAAATGGAGGAAGAAAGATGTCTCATTGGTTTCGTTTGAATATATCAGCTTAAGGTGTGCATACCTGCATTTAAAACAGTTATGATAACTTAATAGCTTTCAGTGCTTATTTTTCTCTGTTTAATGTGTGCAGAGTTGCTGACTTCTGTCTTGAGCTGGAGCAAGAATTGATATTAAGCCTGTTTGACTTCATAAAAAATGTTACTTCAAGGTTCCAGAGTAGAGTTTTTCCATTGTCGGATCCATTCCTGCGCTCTCGTATCAATGACACAGGTTTAATGGATTCCTTTGCAACAGAGAAACAACTTCACTTAATGACTGCTCCTGCTTCTACTGAAAACCACAAACCGAGACTCTCTCTACCTTCAATTGTTCCAATTGGAGCTCCATGGCAGCAAATTTACCTATTAGCTAGAAGACAGAAAAAGATCTTTGTCGAAGTGTTTGATTTTGGCCCCATCAACTTGACCCTAAGGTGACTGGTTAGTTAATAAGAAAATGCCTCTGTGTACTTAGTTTTGTATTAAAAGTTGCCATTTAACAAGCTATGAATTTTGTCTGCACAGCTTTTCAAGTGCTCCGTGGATGCTTAGAAATGGGATTCTTACTGCAGGAGAATCTGTTATCCATGTAAGTAGTATACTGATGTCCTAAGAGAAGCTTTACAAAGTAGATAATGTAATCACATAAATGCAAGTTAGAAAATATTTTGTCGGAACTTTGCGCATGCATTGAATCACAGGCAAAGGTTGAGGTAATGAATGTGAAGATTTCATGTAAGAAGAATATGCATTTGATACACAGACACAAACACCCACATCTACCGGCAGCAACTCTATCCTATGATTCAAAAAACATGTGAAATCATATTTGGTTGCCTTACAGAGAGGTCTTATGGCTCTTGCTGATGTTGAGGGTGCACGAATTCATCTCAAGCAGCTGACAATTACACATCAAATTGCTAGTTCAGAGTCCCTTCAAGAGATCCTTGTAAGGCATTATACTCGGCAACTTCTTCATGAGATGTATAAGGTAAGTATTAAAACTTTTCTACTAAGGTTCTTGAGACTTGGTAATAGCGAGAAACTTTATACTGTGAGTCACATTTGGTTAGTTAAACAGGTTAATCACATTGACACCCCCTGATTCTAGCGGCAGTTATTTGTTTGCTATCTTTTCTTGTTGGAGAGCTGCCGGTTCTCAGTAATGCCTTATTTATAGTCCTCAATGTATCTTGCTGTCCTTTTACTTTTTTAGCTTTTGTCTACATGTTACATAGCACATCATGCCGTGAATTACCTAATAGATATTATTGTACATGAGTCCTGCAATGAATTTTCTGTCTTTCCTCCATTAGAATGTAAATTGACCGATGGGCTTACAACAATTCAGTATGATGTTTAACTTGCTCTTATTACGCTGTATATTTCCAGGTGTTTGGTTCTGCTGGTGTTATAGGCAATCCCATGGGATTTGCAAGGAGTATGGGGCTTGGCATTAAAGATTTCTTGTCAGTGCCTGCTAGGAGCATTTTTCTGGTAAGTTTATTTGTATATGTTTTACAACTGTCCTCTTTATCGGTATAATAATGTGTTTTTTTTTTTTTTTTTGGGTAGAGCCCCACTGGACTAATTACTGGCATGGCACAAGGCACCACTAGTCTTTTAAGTAACACTGTCTACGCTATAAGTGATGCTGCCACACAATTCAGCAAAGCTGCGCACAAGGTAACTGCATGTCGAACGACATCCTGGTGGCTGATAGATTATTTTCATCTTTTCATTATTAATTGGGTTTCTATTTGTAGGGAATCGTGGCATTTACATTTGACGACCAGGCTGTTTCAGAAGTGGAACAGCAGCAGAGTGGTATTGCTACTCATTCTAAAGGTGTGATAAATGGAATATTTGAGGGACTCACAGGTCTTCTTCAATCACCAATTAAAGGAGCTGAGAAACATGGCCTTCCTGGTGTCCTTTCAGGTATTCAATAGTAGGATGCAGTAATCATTGCGTTTCTTCTTTACCTTCATGTTGATATGCAGCTCACGGAAGAAACGATGCTATCACCTTTAGATCCACATGATAAGATTTGGTTGCCTGGCTCTGGCCAACGCTTTTTATGTCTATGGTGCAGGCATAGCTTTAGGTATTACAGGACTAGTGGCAAAACCAGCTGCTAGTATTCTTGAAGTTACTGGAAAAACTGCACAGAGTATCAGAAATCGGAGTAGGCTCTATCAAATGGGACAACAGCGCTTAAGAGTCCGTCTTCCAAGGCCTTTAAGCAGGGAACTCCCCTTAAGACCTTATTCTTGGGAAGATGCTGTTGGAACTTCAGTGCTTGTTGAGGCGGATGATAGTTTGAGGCTCAAGGATGAGATTTTAGTCATGTGCAAGGAACTTAGACAAGCTGGTAAATTTGTCATCATTACACAGAGGCTTGTATTGATTGTTAGCTGCTCAAATCTGGTGGACTTAGGCAAGCCTGAATTTCGAGGTGTTCCTGCTGACCTTAACTGGGTAATTGAATCTGAAATCTGTTTGGAGAGTGTTATACATGCTGACTGTGATGAAGGAGTAGTGCATATAGTCGGAAGCAGTTCAGATGCCCCTTTGCGGCAAAACCAGCAAACTAAAAGCAGCAGTGGAACACGGGCAGTTCGTTGGAACAATCCTACTGTTCCTCTCGTACAGACAAACCTGGAACTGGCTCGCAAAGACGATGCGGATAATTTGTTGCAGATTTTGTTGTCTGCAATAGAATTAGGAAAGGAGCACGGGTGGGGATGTAGGTATCTTCTGCAACGAAGTAACATCAAATAACTCAGTGGCGGAGCACACTAGTTTGAAGGATTGAATTTCGTACAACACTAGTAGACAGAAGACTTGTTACAGAGATCACGAGATGTGTGAAACAATAGTTTTGAAGGGATTGAGTTTCGAATGGAGTGAGAAACGGGTCACTTGTTCGATGCATTTTGCTTTTGAACTCTCGCGACAGAAAAACAGCATTGAGAATGCCCGAAGCCCGAAGCCCGAAGCAAACCTTTCCCGTTGTGATGTCTTGCACAATGCAAAAGATGGAATTTCGAATTTCGATTCTTTTGGTAGATACTAGATAGATAGGTAACTTCTACAGAAAAAGTTGTAGGGTATAGAGATATAGGTTACTTCATATTTAGCACTTGTATATTTGCTGTTTGTGAACCATTTAATGTATATAAATGTTAGTCAGCAGTTATAACCAAATGAGTTCAAACACACACTTATTTGTCTTTCACCTGTTCAGGTAGTTATGCCTAAGTTTTGTTCTTGTCTATTTCTGGTATTTCGGTTGTCTTCGATCTCTTGGTTTTCGTGTCTTCTGTTGGAGAATGACATGGGAGGTGAAGTGATACTCCCATTCGAGCTCGAGTCATGTTGTACCAAGACAAAACTTAGGATGGAAAATGACAATCACACATTATTTTTCTCCTCGTGCACATCTAATTTTTTTCCCGCGTCTCTCCCGCTCTCTCTCTCCGAAAACTGAGCCACCGTACCCTGTGTGATCTCATTCAACATCTCTATGGCATCATATATGATAGGACCAAGAAAAGACAGATCTGCCTGTATTCTTTTGCTTCAGTGTCACCAATGCCAACAAAGAGATCAATCTCAATCTCAATCAATCAGTGGCGTAATCAGAAATTTACATTAATTGGGTCACAAACAAGAAATTGTTTATTTCCTTACACGTGGCGCTGATGTGGAATCCGCATAAGTAAATGAGAATAAGGGCCCCACAAAAAGATTGTAGTAAATCTGGAAGCTATGATTGGGCCTCAATGTTAGGGAGTTTTCAAGTCAAAATTGGGCCCAAAACATTTGAACCCAAATCCAATCCGAGCAGTGGTGTTCCGTGTTCGTCTCCAACACCAGAACAAACCCTTTGATCGATCCCAATTCTTCTTTCAATTCCCAATTCGAAACCCTAATTTTCCCTAATAATCCCCCGCTGCCTGGTTCGCTCTTTCCCGGAACCCTAAAGGGGTGGAAGAGATATGAACAGAGGTCGAAATGAGTAGACTTTCATTCAGGCCTCGCCCTGTTGATATCCACAAGAAGCTCCCCATTGTCAAATCCGTCAAGGACTTCGAAGATGATGACACCCCAACTTCCACCCGCAATTCTCAGCTCTTCCGCCCCGCCGCCGATCCCCCCGTTGAACCGGAGGCGCCCCCGGCCCCCGCCGCGCCCAAGAAATACATCCCTGAAATACCCACTCCTCAGTTTGTTGTTGTTGACACTTATGAGAGGGACTATTCTCGCACTTTTGGCCAGCCCAATTCCTACCTTCGCGCGAGAGGAGGTTTTGTTTTTAACTTCACACTCGTTTGTTACCGTCATTTTGTTGTTAGTATTGCGTTGCTGACGATTTTTTCGATGGTTTTGCAGCTCGGGCCGAGCTCGGAGAGTTTGTGGAGTATGACCTAGACAATGAGGATGAGGACTGGCTGCATGAGTTGAACAAAGAGAAGAAGATTCTTGCACCTGAAAAGTAATCACTTTGCCTACCCTTTACGTCCACATTTTTATCAAGTAATTTAGGACAATAGAATTAGCTTGTAGGAAAGCAGCAGCAATTAATCACATTCTAACTCTTCATTTCTATTTAGAATGTAATTTGATAAGCGCAGTTTCAAAAAATTGATGTTGAGGAATATGTAGAGACCCAACCCTCCAGGATTGAATCTTGACGTAGCTTTAATCAAGTTTTCTTTATTCTTCGATCGATGATGGTATTTTGATCATTAAGGTGTTCTCACACATACAGGCTTGAAAGTCTTCTTTTTAAGTTGGAGGTTTTGGACCATAAGGCGCGAGAAAGAGCAGGAGTTATAACTCCTACTCTTGCTTCACCAATCCCTGTACTTCTACAACTTGATGTTGCTAGTGAGGTGATGTGCGTTTTGATTTATTTTTCCTAATGAATTGACCAATATTGATGCATGATGTTAAAAGTTATTTTTCATTCATTAGCTATATCCAACTGCTGGTGGCATCGTTCATTTATATTTGTCAATTTGGTTGTTGTTAGGTCTTACTAAATGAGACTGAGGTACGTAGTATCATGTTCCTAAACTGAAAAGGTTGCCATTCTCCCTGTTTATGAAGACGCTAAAAGATAATTTCTGGTCGTCTTTTATTAAAGCTACTAGTTGTATTTCTCTGTTTACAAGTGATCTTTTATGGTTGCATTTTAAGTGCATATTTTTTCTAACGTTTGGCCATGTTGAATCATTTCTCGAAGTTAATAGAATTTTGTTTCCTTTTGCTGTAGGCTCTTCAATCTCAGTCTCTCAGATATGCTGTTATCCAGTCTGTTTATAATTATTGGAAAGAGAAGGTGTGTATTATCTAACAAGCTTTAGAGGTTAAAGGATATACAACGTTGTTTGGAAATGAATTAGTCAACTAGAAATGTTTAATATCCAGTGAGTTCTGTTCCTTGTGGGTTGGAGAATAATCAACATTATTGAACAAGCAGCTGATATTCACTGATTTGCATGATATACACAATAAGTTGTGGTTCAGTCCCGTCTAATTATTGTTCGTTTTTTAATATTTCTGATGATATGTATTCTTTTCACTCAATTTTGGCAGCGTGAACGTTGGCAGAAGCCTGTTTTGCGGCGTTTGCAGGTTAGGTTTAATTCTTGATTATGTGCTTATTATGTCACCTGCCTATATGTCCTTGCATATCATTTATTCATCGTTGTGATAAAACTTTAACATTATGATTCTCATCTACATTTTTGTTACAGCCTCCTCCACCAGTTAATGACACCAACCCGTACAATGTCTTTAGACCAAGGGAGAAAACCCACAGACTGCACACAAGAAGGGTACAATAAAAACTTGATTGTGTTTTCCTTTTTTCCTCAGGCGAAGTCATTTAGTTAATGAAATGTTTTTGTTTATACACATTTCTTAAATATCTCTTTCTAATTGTTTGTCTTTTTCTTAGATGCAAAGAAGGGAAAATAATGTGCAGCCATTTGAAAAGCTTCGCCAGGTTTGTATTGCTTTTTCAATAATTTCTTTCCAGTTGCATATGTATTTGACAATCACAGTCACAAGCTTTTCTTTTGGAATTGACTATTCTCAGGTTAGGCGCAACCTCGAGCAAGCCAAGACCATAGTAGAGTCTTTAATCAAGGTGCTTTTATTGAAGTGTTTAAAGTTTCCTTGAGTGGTGTTATATTCATCTTGCCATGAATTTGTCCTCACTGCAGCTGGTTGCTTCTGTATAATTTGTATGCAGAGAGAAGAGAAAAAGAGGGAAGTCATGGAGAATGAAGTTAGTCTTCAAATAATCCAAATGAAGTACAAGGTATGCATAGGGCTTGTTACTCTCTTGGTTTGCTTTAACGATAGCAAATCCCCGGCAGCTTTCTTTTTAATATTGGCCTTGACAATCTCCTCATTCCGTTTGACTTTTTATCTCAATTTTTATTTGGAATCGGTCTATCTTTTGGGGGTGAGTGATGTTTCAATTGTTGGTTTAAGCCATTAGTTTTTATATTTTTTCCTATTCTGGATATTTGTCTGTCAATTCCTTGTACCTTTTTCTTTTATTGTAAGTGAGGACGCTGGAATTAGTAGTTGATACGGGAAACAGTTACATGGTCCTATGAAACTCAAAGCTTTTCCCTCTGAAGCTCAAAGCTTTTCCCTTTTATTTTTCTTTATGAAATACTCTTTCATCTCAAAAGAAAAAAAAAGTTAGTGAAAGAAAAGAAGGTAGAAAAAGGGGAAGGAAAAGGAAAACTTTGTTGCTGGTTACTTTTTGTTATGCCTTCCATCATGCATATATTTCAGTAAATCTTCTGGGCTATGTAATTCATAATGGTTTAAATTTAATATATGTTGCTGATTGGTGCATGACTTTCGGATTTTTCAGCATGAAACTGAGCTCCTGGAAGATAGCTTGGCGCTTCCTGGCTTTCAACCTGTATCTTGCAAATTTGGTTCAAGCGAGGACGAATTTGTTGATTCAGATGATGTTTCAAATGGCCGGCCCCGCACACGGCCTCCTACAATACCGAATCCGCCTTTAACAGATTCGAACATAATTATGGCTCCTACAGGTACCATGAAGCAAGAGTTTAGGCGGCGGCATGCACCACAAGGGTGGCTTCATAAAATGGTACTTTCTTTGGCTTTTTGAGAATCAGATTACCTATCTGCTGTACCATTACCTCCCTTCCTTTCTTGTTTTTTCTCTCTTCTAGGCAGCTATATCAATAAGTAACTGCTGAAGTTTTGTCATTGTCATTAATTCAATATGTGGTAGTTTGTTAGGGAATTTTAGCGAAATTAATTCGGATTGTAGATTAGGTTTGAATTGTTCTGTTTTTTGTCGGTATATGAGTTTCAGTAGTGAATTTTAACTGTTGGATGGGCGTCATGTAGGATCCCCTTGAGCCAGTTTTGTTATTTACAAGACCTCTAGTTCCAGAGAAGTTGGCAGCAGCAGGCATTGTACCACCATCAGATTCTTCAGTAACAAATGGAGCAGCCACATCACCTTATAAATTCCGAGGAAGAATTGGCCGAGGAGGCCGATTGATATTTGATAGGTGGAATCCACTGATGCATACGCCAATCGACTGTGGGAATTCTTTTTATATACCACCTAAACCTAGACCTGCAACATACAATTGATCTTCTTGCCCCTCATGTTTCGTCTTGCAGACAACTCATTGGAAAGAGGTGCGGTAAACTATTCCTATGACACGACGGGAGATTTGGTAAAATGTGTGGTTGCATTAACCTTCTGTCATGCCCGGATATTGGATATCCATGGGAGCATGCCATTCTTGGAATTTTGACTTGAAATTAAGGGTATTTATGGAAGGGTAGGAGGGGTGGGAGTGTGTTGTATTTTCCTTGTTTGTTAAAATTGTATTGGTCTGTCTGCCCAGCCCTTTCCCATGTAAATTTCCTTACCAATTCATATGGCAATCAGCTAATGATGGTAACTTCTCTATTAATACAGCCATTTAGTTAGTGTGATATTTTGCACTTTGAAGCTCGAGTGGAGAGAAACTTACACGATGGCGTTGGACTCCATCGTGTCGTGGAAGTTTCTCTCCGGACCATCTTAGGGGTGGTTTGGGAGTGAGGTGATTAAAAAAAAAACACCCATGAAAAAAAGCTGCGAGGGTTTTAGGTGTTTGGTAAACTAAAAAAAAGATCTTATTTTGGAAGTTGCTGTGAGAATAAGCTGAAATCAAAGGAAAAAGCTGAAGCAGCTATTTGCAGCTTTGGAAA